AAAACCAATTAAAAATACAAATTAAAATACAAATGATGTGCTAAAATGCACATAACTAGCGATCAAATTATACTGTAAATAATACAACAATGTATAAAAAGAGTTGATCTCAAAATTGGATGAATTTGGATGTTCTGAGCCGATTGTGAATTTCAGTGTTATTTTTGGCATTTGGGATTTCCAAAAGAGCTCTGGGAGAAAAGGGATCAAAGGTTGTTTCTGTCTTATATCTGCTTCAGTGGTTGTCACCCTCAGCTTGACTGCCATTCCCAACGGGTCCCACTGTTCTATCTTAGTATCCCTCGTAGAACTTGTAAAGAAAGTGGCTCAGACCATTTTGTTGGCCTCATCATCTCATTAACGAGGGCCTTCAGCAAAAAGAGATTTCCACCCCTCATTGGGCTAGCACTTACTCCTAAAATGGGCCCCGTATTTTAAGCCCTTAAGGTCATTTTGCATTTCAAAAGAAATCCTAAGACTTGTATCGAGAAACAATATTTTTTATTAGACTCCTCTATCTTCCACTCTCTATCTCACTTGATTCTACTGATTATCAGATTGCAAAATGCCACTAGCATGGGCAGGGTCGGATTTACTCTCTCTGCCACCCCAAAGCTAGGTTCCTCAATGCACCCCCTCCCAGCCAACCCCCCACCCCCATGGAGAAATGGAGAATGGCCACCAGATGGAGGGGGGCGGCAGGGTTGGTTTTATTTGTTTAAATTTTTGGTTTATTTTTTTCTTTTCTATCACTTTTTTATTTTTATTTAAATTTGTATTTATCTTATTTTTTACTTTTTTATATTGAACCTGTCACCTCCAATACAGGAGACTGAGCACAGCGCTGTGCTGGAACTTCTGTGACAGCTGAGAGGGGAAGGCTGCGAGTGCAGCGTTCCCGTCTCAGTGTTTACACGGAGCAGAGCGGAGAACACCCTGCACTGCTCCCTGCTTTCCATCCTGAACTACCATGCCGTGGTTCCGGGTCCCCCAGAGGAGTGGGGGACCCCGAAAACCATGGCAGGGAGAGAGGCGGCTGGCGGGGAGAGAGGTAGCTGGCTGTGGGGGCGGCAGGGGGGAGAGACCTGCAGGCTGCATACATGTGATCTCGATGACATCTCCAGGATCACGTGTACAAAACAAATGGTGGCATCCCCACTCTACATTTAGCACTGCTTGAAAAAAACTGCATGTCTCGGGCTTCAGGCGATAGAAATTCCACACCCAACTGCCCCTCTACTCCCTGTTGCTCCGAGGCCAGGCCTCGGTGGCCTTGTGGAAAATCCGGCTCTGAGCATGGGCTAGCACTTAACCCTAAAATGGACCCCTTTATTTTAAAAGAAAGAAATTTGCATTTCAGAAGAACTCGTATCGAAAAACAATCCCTCTATTAGACTCCTCTAGTTTCCACTCTCTTGATTCTGCCAACTATAAGATTTCCAAATGACATTTGGACATTTATCAGTGTTATGTTAGGCAGTTGGGATTTCCAAAAGACTTCAAGAAGAAAAGCAACCAAAGGCTGTTTCTGCCTTATATCTGCTTCTGCTGTTGCCCGATCACCCTTAGATTGACTGTCAGTGCCACCAGGTCCCACTCTATCTCAGTATCTCTTGCAGAATTTTTAAAGGACGTCATCTCATCATCTCATCAGACAGGGCTGCCAGGAGCTTCCCCGAACAATATGAACAGTTTTGAATCATTAGCTGCTCTAAAAAACACACTTTTTTGGAACCTGGTTCAGATGTCCACTGACTTCAAGGAGACTTTAGGAACTCTAAATTGTGGAGGTTTGTGGGTTCACAGAAGTTTGGCCAAAACACTTTTTTAAAAGTTTGCTCGTAATCTAATCATAAAGAAAACACTAGGAAATTCCGCTAAGTTGTACCAGGTACTATTATACATTTGTATTCCTTGAAAAGAGACTTCCACCCCTTTTGGGGCTAGCACTCACCCCTATAATGGACCAATTTGTTTTAAGAGAAGATAATTTCATAAGAAATCCTTCTGAGATTTGTATCGAGAAAGCAATGTTTCTATTAGACTCTTCTCGTTTCCTGTGTCTATCTCTCTTCATTCTGCCGAAAATTAGATTTCCAAATGCCATGTGGACATTTTTATGGAATGCATTGGATGCGTCAATGGGAATATCAATGGGTTTCTAAGGGTGCAGTGGCTACTGGTGGTTATGGAAGCTCCTTTCAAATATCTTGGACCTGATTGGCAAAACCCTGATGATTTAACAATTTTTTTGGGGAGCCATACCACCACTCCCAACGAACCTAAAAACTTGGTAGCTTCAGTGAAAACACCTGAACAACATGTTCTGATGAAGGAAAGCCCATTACCCTGAACTGAGGACTTTATCATTTAATTATCAGTAAAGTCTGGAACCAAACCACTGATCAAAATGACTCTTCACTTGAGACTCTCCACGTGGCACATATAAAAAAGCTGCTTGTCCGAGTAACCAACAGCTTTCCTGCTACCTCCCTGAGTCAAACAGCCAGGACTAGGGTGAGCTTTGGGTTTGTGTCAACCATGAGTTCAACTCCAGCTATTTGCAGTTTACAGAGCAGGTGAACATTATGGCTGCTTGCCAAACCTCTCTGTGTCCTAGCAATCTGCACGGCGTCATTGGTTAACTGCTGGCTGGTGTTAGGAGCATGTGAAATGCTCCTATGCCTGTCGCGACCACTCAGCTCCATCTGGTGGTTGCCTCTTGTAGCTGCACTTACTACCCCAGTCTAGTCAGCTGCCGGTTGATAAGGCTAATCAGCCTAGTTACACGCCCCTCACAGCCTGGGGGTTGGTTAGAGGTGCTCTATTTATGCATGCCCCAAGCCCAGGGCTCTGGGCTTGTGATAGTACCAGTCTTGTCTTGCTCTGTCTACACAAGCCTGTATCCTGATCTTGAATCATAGTCCTGCCTTGATCTTGAAACCTTGTCTTGCCTTGGATCTTTAATCCTGTACCTGTTTTGTTTCTTGTATCTAGTTCTTGTCTTGTATTTGTTTACTGTTCCTGTCCTGTATCTTTCTTTCTGTTCATCTTGTACCTTGACATCAGTCAGTACTTCTCCTTGTTCCTTGGGGCCGCCGGCGAACATCTATGGCCGGAGTGTATAGTTGAAGCATCTGAGTACCGGTTGGCATTTATTGCCTTATGGGAAAGGCGGCTGCTAAAGGTTACACAACTTGCCACTATACACTCTGACCAAGGTGTCTGTATCCGGTCCTAACAGCTGGGCCGCCCAGTGTCATTGACTGCTAGGATGCAGACGCGCACACCGTAGCCACCAATGATGATCTGAAGGACACTTGGACATTCCCTAAACCCAGATTTCTGCCTGGATTCTGCAAACATCCAAGCCAACTGAACCCAGGCCAGTTCACTCATCATCACCCAGGACCCATACGTGCAGTGGCATCACAAGGGGGTGCGGCCCGCACCTGGGTGACACCATTGGAGTGGTGACTCCAAAATGACCGACAGTCATGAACCGACCGCCCCGACAGTTTCGGGAGAGAGGAGGGGACCCGGCAGCATACCTTATCCCACCGAGTGACTGTCCCCTCCTCTCTCTGCCGGCGTCCATCTCCAAAATGGCAGTTATCAATAAGATCGCCGCACATGCACGATGACTTCACAGCGGGGTGTCACCCGCTAACCGCTCCGGGTGACACCTGGCCTCAGGACGCCCCTGCATAAGTGGCCCCAGCTAACCACTCTCGCTGATGCATTTCGCCCCCTACTAGAGCAAGAGGTCATAGGGAAATAGGAGCATTTATATGATCATTGCAACACTCCCAAAAGTGCATTTCCACATTTACAGATGAATTGGGAAAACAACTTCTTTGTTACGTGTTCTCATTCAGAAAGCATAATTGCTGCTAACATTTTATTTGCTCTTTTCTGAAAACTGCAGCTTGCACTCTACCCCAAGGCCTGCTGCAAAGAAACATTATTATACAAACCAAAGTGTGGAAGATGACGGAATTTACATTTGTATCCATATATCCTAAGAGGGAAAACTCCCCAAGGAAATAGTATCTAGATAATGAAAAATAAACATGGGAGGAACCCAAAAAAAGGGAAAAGCAAAAAAGAGAAAGAAAACGGGGGCTTCCTAGGGACACTGGTAGATTATCGAACGAACATTCATACGAAAAATCTCTGCAGAACATTTGATAATGCCATCAGACACTTGTTGAATGCTGTTAGACATTTTGTTTGTTTTAAACATTTGATTTTGGAATGAATGGAGTTTCCTGAACAAAAAACACATTCACTGTTGGAATTTTGGTCCTTGGTGTCCTCATGTCTAATGCAAGTCAATGGGCCTGCATTAGATGGGATGAAGTCAGTGGCCCTTAGACCACCAGAACCCTGGGGAGAAGAGGCTGTGGGCAATGACCTTCCTAGCTTTTTTGCCTCCGTAGGTGGCGGCAGGTGCGGTAGGGGGTGGATGATGGGGAACACTGCATTTCGCCGAGCTCCTGACAACCAGTGACGTCACTATTTGCCAGGAGCTCGGCGGGACACCTGCAAGAATGTCCCAGGGCGCTAAGAGCTGGGTAGAGAGAGATGGTTATGGTCCTTACACATCTCTCTGCCCTTCTCTTAGCAACCTGGGACGCTCTGACCAGTAAGGGGGCGGCAAACCTTGTGAAGCAGAGCGTCCATGCCACTCTGCCTGCCGTCCACCCCACAAGATGCCTCCTAAGACTGGTCAAGCAGCCAGGCAGGACCCAGGATCAGGTGAGTATATCTGCTTTATTTGACCCCCCTAGGCAAAATGAGAACTTAAAGTTCTTCTTTATTAATAACATATTATTACTTTATATTACATATAATATGTATATGGTAACATGGTTAAAGAGGTTATTGCCTAGGGTGTTGCCTTGCTCTAACTTCCCTGTAGGCTACAAGGGAGGGAATACAGGGAGACATGACACCCACTATAGATTGAACTCTACACAGCTGTGTTTAATACATACCAGTGATGATGCCACGAAGAGCAGAAGGTACAATCTGAGCATAAACTCCATTTTCAGATGCCGGAATTGGCCTCAAAACACGCTGTTTTGTTGATCTCGCCGCGAGTAATGAGAAATAGAAAAAAAAACCTTCCCTAGCGACAAAGCCTTCAGACTCCGGTCCAGGGCTCTGTAACAGATAAAAAAAAAAAAAAGAGTTAGAAGAAAGAGACAAGAAATTATACCAATACAGTCTCTGCGCTGCCCGGAAAATGACAGTGAAATTGAACCGCGGAATATTGTATTTTTCTTTTCAAAAGGCCGTTGAAGCGTAAGTGTTTTTTGAAGGACGCTCGACAAAAGAACTGGCTACCGAGATAAATGTATTGGCGGTACAGACTCTCGGCGCTTTCCCACAATGCTGCCCTCCGACAGGAGGAGGCGTGACCCCCCACTACTCCCTTCGCCCGCTGTTGGGTTCGGTTTGCACTATTTCTAGACAACAACAGACATGCCGGGTGCCTTTGAGTGCAAGCATCATTTAAAGGGGATCTCTGCTTTAGCTATAGGTTTATCCTAGCCTCTATAAAGACTCCAATTCTTGCAGAATTCTTGTCCAGGGTGGCTGGTCTTGTCTCTGCCCCCTCCTGTACTAAAGACCAATCACTGCTGCTCTCTCCTTGTGCAGGGTGACTGGTCTTGTCTCCGCCCTCTCCTGTAATAAAGACCGGTCACTGCCGCTCACTCCTTGTGCAGGGTGACTGGTCTTGTCTCCGCCCCCTCCTGTAATAAAGAACGCTCACTGCTCCTCTCTCTCCTTGTGCAGGGTGATTACTCTTGTCTCCGCCCCCTCCTGTAATAAAGACCGCTCACTGCTCCTCTCTCTCTTTCTGCAGGGTGACTGGTCCTGTCTCCTGCTGTGTTATGTGACAGTTTTTCTAAAACAATACAGACCAATGATTTTCAGACAGTGGTGGAGTACAAGCGCACAGCTGCAATCGCTGTTACCCTGGGAGTTCTGCCACTGACTTAAAGCTGTAGAGGGTCTACAAATCCCAGCAGTAAATTATATAGCAATGCAGAATACCACCAGCTGTAGAGGACTACAAATCTCAGAAATACATTATACAGCAATGTAGAATAATACCACCAGCTATAGAGGACTACAAAATTCAGCAACACTTTATACAGCAATGTGGAATATCACCAACTATAGAGGACTACAAATCCCAGCAATACATTATACAGCAATGTAGAATACCACCAGCTAAAGAGGACTACAAATCTCAGCAACACTTTATACAGCAATGCAGAATAATACCACCAGCTATAGAGGACTACAAATCCCTGCAATATACAGCAATGTGGAATACCACCAGCTATAGAGGAGTACAAATCTCAGCAATACATTATATAGCAATGCAGAATAATAGCATATGAATTTGCAACATACTCTGTGCTGCCACTCTGCTCCAGGGTACTGGCCTGATATCTTGGGCAGAGGGTCCCAGAAGAGGGAGATATGGAGGATCTCAGGAGGGGGAGATGTGACAGAAAGATGAGCTCATCAGTTAGCTTGCTGCTTCTCTTTTCACTGTCCAGTCACAGTGAATGTTACTGAACTGCGGCAGAGAAAACATCAGGGTTCCGGTATTGCCAGCCAGGGCTGTCCTGCATTGCAGAGCTGTACAAAGAGTGAGCCACATGCTGCTCCAATCCTAGAAGTACTGGAAGTTTCCTTCGGCTCTCAGCGCTGAACAGAATGGCGAAGGAGAGAAGGAATGGTAAGTATATGCTGTTTTTGAGGGCTAAGGGATTAAAGCAAACCTCTTGCTTTGCATTGAATGGATGAAGAGCGGGTTTGCCTTAAATACCTTTTAGCTAGTTGTCTTCTTTGCTTCCAACTTTTTCTCATTTAATTACAGAATCTAAATTTTTTAAAATCTGGCCGGTGTCCTTTAAATCCCAAAATGTGGGCAGCATTTCCTGTTGTCTTCCGAGCAGAGACACAATGCAGAGAGGAGCACAGCTACGGCAACAAATAAGAAATAATGATATCCATATGCTTAGAACAAGTGGCGTCTGTGTGAGTTCCGGTTCACTGCTATAGTTATAAAAATATCTCCATGCGTGGTGCCTGTCAATGCGTTCGAGGACACAAAGGCGCAGTGCTCGGTGAATGATGGGGAAGGCATGCAGGTTAGGCAGGCAGGAACATACGTACAGAGAATAAATCAACAGCTGGTGAACTCCCAACAGCTTATCATTTATTTATTTGCTTATTGTCGTAGCATGTAAACCAAGTTTGCTCCCTAAATAAGGGACCGTTGTTTATGCCGCATGCTCAGCTGATGCCCTAGGCGCTGTGAATGAATGTGGATTTAAAGGGAGGCTACAGATCATCTTCAGAAAACGCACACTTTGGGTCATTGGTGTGATGTGGAGTTGTACATATCTCCACTTATGACTCTTATTCCCTAAGATCACACTTAAAGCTATAATGATGCACAGATACCGTTACCATTGGTGCGAATACTGAGCATTTGCATGAGTACTTGATCTTGATACCAAAAACTGATACCGGTGCTTTAATTATGCAAATTGAAGTGGCTGCCTTAGGTCCCACACTTGTTGGGGACCTCGCAGCAGCCTTCTTGAGAACTATGGGGTGCCTGTTCACAGTGCCGCAGTTTGGCTACCACTGCCTTAAGAGTTCCCTTCACTGGAACTAAGGGGCCAAGCCCAACCCCTGAAAAACAACCCCACACCATAATCCCCCCTCCACCAAACTTTACACTTGGCACCGCCAAACCCAGACATGTCCATCGGACTGCCAGACAGAGAAGCGTGATTGGTCACTCCAGAGAACACATCTCCACTTCTGTAGAGTCCAGTGGCGGCGTGCTTTACACCACTGCATCCCACGCTTTGCATTGCACTTGGTGGTGTAAGGCTTGGGTGCAGCTGCTCGGCCACGGAAACCCATTCCATGAAGCTCTCTACGCACTGTTGTTGTGCCAATCTGAAGGCCACACGAAGTTTGAAGGTCTGTAGCTATTGACTCTGCAGACAGTTGGCGACTTCTGCTCACTGTGAGCTGACCCCGCTCTGTCACTTTACGTGGCCTACCACTTCCTGGCTGAGTTGCTGTTGTTCCCAGTTGACCGCGGAGTATTTAGTAGGCAGGAAATTTCACGGAAAACCGGAATCCAATGATTTGGAGGGGTGTCCCTATACTTTTGGCAATATAGTGTATATCAGATGAAATGCCTACTTAAACTTTCAATTTTTACTGGAGTGCACCTTTAAGCTCCATTAACATTTAACACACAAGGCTGTCAGCAGACAGATATTGTTTTGGCGCGGCGAGTCACTCTCTTCCTATTTAATGAGAAGGAATTCATTCCTGTGCGCGTTTCTTCGCAAGTACAGAATCCAATTATTAGCTAAGCAGCGTTCTGGTGTCTCCGAGAGATGACAGAGGGAGAGACAGAAAACAGCGAGGAAAGAACGGGGCACAGGATGTCCTCGGTGACATTCACGCTAGTCTTGGTTCACTAAACCGCTGTAACTTCATTAGCGGGATTCAGAGCACATAACTCCCGACGCTAAGCAGCCCCGGATTAGGTTATGGCGTAACAAAGCAAGGCGATGTTATCTGGCAGGTGGGTTTGGAAAAGGATAATTAGAATTTTCATGTTACCATGGTGATTCTGGTGCAGAGATTCGCAAGTTTACGTCCTACACCGTCCTCTGTGCTGCTACCATTACTACCGTCTCCTCGTTCCGGCCCCGGCGTCCTTCCCTGACCCTTGAGTTCCTCGCTGCACCAGAGGGAGAATTGGAGGAGAAGAGGAAACTATTCTGCCGCTTCATGAAGCAAAAGAAACGAAAGTCTCAGGGAGAGAGGCGCCGGTGCTACAGGAAGTAGATTTCAAAGTGTATGTATAGGTAGTGAGGTCTGACAAACCCTAAACTGTGTGGGATGAATGGGGAAGTTGTAAAGTAGTCACCGCTCCAAGCTCTCTCCCGGGAAGGACTACAATCTCAGGTTTAGTTTACTACTTTGTATTGAGATTGTAGTCCATCCCGGGAGTGAGCTTGGAGCGGTGACTACTTAACAACACACACAGGGACCATGGGGAACAAAAGTAGCCCCCCTCCTGTTCCTGTCCTGCACCTCCCCTGTGCACCTGCCTTCATTAGACTGAGAATTGAGATTGAGGGACTTGAGGTGACTGCTATCTGATAGACTGTTTTAGGCCTCATTCACACCAGGGCGGCAACGGTTCAGTGCTGTTTCCGCTCGATTTTTGAAAGGGCATTTTTAATAACGTTTTAGCGCTGCAACAATATAAAAAATGGGCAAAAATGCGCTGATCAGCGCATTTCCATTGCAGGGATCCCAAAATGAAAAAAGTGATTTCAGGGAGGTGCCCTTTTTCAAGGAGGTGATCCCTCCTGATACCCCCTAAAATGATGGCAGATAGCACAAGAAGCAATAGCTGGTGGTTATTTTTTTGTATTCTGACAGCTGCTGCCGTCAGAATAAAAAAAACCAGCATAGGAATGAATAGCTAGATTGCTATTTTCCTATTTCAATTTGCAATAGCAAGCTGGCTATTGCAACAGCCCTCTGATGCTGCCAATCAGCAGAGGAGGACCTGATGGAGAACTTCAGCAGTGGGTGGGTGCAATAGCTAGTCTGCTATTGCAAATTGAAATGGCCAATAGCAATCTAGCTATTCATTCCTATGCGGTTTTTTTTCTGAAATCCGGCGGCTCCGATGTCAGAAAAAAAAAAAAAACAGATGGCAGGGAAAGGTTTACTCTGCTAGATGGAGCAAAGTAAACCATTCCGGTAGAAAATGTTTCTCTCCCGGGCGTCCAGGAGCCGCTATCTAAGAGCGGGAGACTCCTGGAACATGCGGGAGAGCTGGGATGTCTGCCATTGAAATCTATATGGAAAACACGCTGATCAGCGCTTAAAAAGTAGCTCAGGGAACAGTTTGGGTGGCGGGTGAATTGAAACATGCAATTGCGTGATTGGGCCCCATAGGGATACATTTGTTTTTTACTGTTGGCGGTTCAGTGCGGAAAAATCCGCTCAACCAAACCGCCCTGGTGTGAACG